TGTTGAAAGGGGGCTCCTCTGACCATCGAAGCCATTCAGATGGAAGGAAAACCCCGGTCACTTCTCCTCTGTGGATCTCAGACATGGGTCACTGCTGGGGACAGATGCCAGGAACTGCTGACTTCTCCAGACTCCCTGGTCTTGGAAGCTTCATTTCCCCATCTGGACCTCCTCTTTCCCTTTAACCTTGATGGGTCCTGGTTCTCTCTGGGGTAGTGCTGAGGCAGAGCTGGAATGTGTGCTCAAGGGAGCGGAGCCTGCGGATTGCCCTTTGCCCTGCCGTGGCCGCCAGAGGCTCTCCCCTCAGCAGACTCCTCCCTGGAGGACTCCGAGCTCAGGCCCACTCCTCTCTCCTATGTACTTGCATTTAGATAGAGTTTTTTAAATCATTTTATTGGAGGCTTGTACAACTCTTTATCAAGAGCTGCGGTAGGTTGAGCAATGCTCCCCTACCCCCAGCCCACCAAAAAAGACATGCCTATCCTAGTCCCTGGAATCCCTGAGTATCCACATATAGGGGTTGGGAGGGGGAGGGAGGAAGACCCTGCATTTGTGATTAAGCTGAAGAGTCCTGAGATGGGGAGATGATCCTGGATTACCCTCCAAAAACCAAGTCACTGTCATCAGGTGAATTCGGACTCATTGCGACCCTAGAGGGCAGAGTAGAACTGTCCTTACGGGTTTGCAGACTGGCCTCTGAAGTGACCTCTATTACAAGGAGTGTGACTGATCGGGCTGGCCTGACCCCATTTATGATCTGCATCATTTTTTGATTCTGTGCTAACAGCATGGGGACCTTCCATCCGTGCTCATTAAACTGCATGAGCTCCCATCATTGCAACAATGGAACAAAACACGATCCAGTTTTGTGCTGTTGCCATGAGCCATTGTGGATAGGACTGTTGTAAAGTATAGGGTTTTCCCTGGCTCATTTTCAGAAGTGGACTGCCAAATAGTCCCTCTTAGTGTGGAAATCAATAACACGTGTGGAAATCAATAACAGCAGGTGAGTCTCCATGGACAGATGGATGGTGGCTATACAGGAGGCTTGTTGGCCAGGGACTGAATCCAGGTCTCCCATGTGGAAGGTGAGAACTGTATGCTGAGTCAAATGTCCCTCTGTGTCTTTATCGCATTTCCTGTATTTACATTCGCTTCCAATCCCAGTCCGGGAAATAAACAAACATCAGCAACAACAGCTTATAATACTGCTCTGATGTCTGGGAATCTAATTTGATTATTTTTCCTGGAGTGGCCTGCACTGAACAGGAATGGGAAATTTCCATCGCTCTGTACTCTGAGGAAGAATCTAGATCTTGAGCCCCCCTCGCCCTCCAATGTTCCCCGTCTCGGACATGTGTGCACCAGCGGCTGTGCTCTGGAGGCACCAACATTGGGAAGGCTGAGAAGCCCAGACGAATATTCTGGAACTTTTCACTTAACTCTTTGGAGAGAGGTACCTGGTTAGTGCTGCAGATAGGGAGCTAATAGCAATGAGGATGAGAATGAAGAAAATGTTCTACAATTGATGGTGGTGATGATGGTACAACTCTTCTTGATGTGATTGGACTACTAAATTATACTAATTGATGTATGAATTATATGCTAATCAAACAGAGAGAGAGAGAGAGAGAGAGAGAGAAACACAGCCCAGGAAAAGGAGGAAAGGAAATGGAGGAACTTAGCTGCCTTTCTCTGTGTTTGAGGATATTACTCCCTCCCTTTCTCTGGGTTGTATTTATTTATTTTAAGTAAATAAATCATTTTATTGGGGGCTCTTACATATTATAATCCATACATCCATTTTATCAAGCAGACATGTACGAATGTTGGCTTCAACAATTTGAAAACATTATTTTTCTTCTTGAGCCCTTTGGTCTTAGCTCCTCTTTCTTCCCTCCCTCCCCCACCCTACCACCCTCTCAAACCCTTTACATCTTATGCACTGTTGTTATTATTTAACATATATTACAC